CTTTTGAGGTTTTTTGGGGTGTTTTATCTCGAGGTTCCCTGTTCTGTTGTAAATCAGGGGGTGGGAAGGCCAAATTCGTCAAGGTGACGTTGCTCCAGCATCGCTGTTCTTGCCCTGTTGGTGGGAGGGAGCATAAATGAATCATCTTGGCCTAAACTGAGGGAATCAGGGCGGTTTTGGGGTGGTTTTTTAGTGCTGCTGATGCTGAGGCTCCTGCAGGGTCTGGTCCCACAGAGCTGGAGCATCCCACGGGCAGCTGATCCTCAAAATCCCTGTGGGAATTTTGGGAAGTGGCACTGTGGGGTTAGGAAGGGTGGGACAACACCAAGGGCAGAGAAAACTGTGGGGGAAAAAAAAATAAACCTGGTTCCAGATGGATCCAAGGCTGGAATTCACCCTGCCAAGGAAGAGAGATCCCATGGCCACCAGACTTCCCAGCCTGGGGGAAATCCTGCCAGCTCGGGATGAGCTCTGCCTTCCCTGAAATACTGAGGGTTTTTTTCCCCAAAGAAAACCCCTTAAACTTCCCTTCAGGACTGTGGAATTTAGTTCTGGTAATAGCTGAGAGATTCTTTTCCACCTAACCCCAGTGAGGCCTGGATTTTCCAGGAGTTCCCTGCTCTCAGCACTGCTCCAGAGTCACTTTTGTCCCACTGGGGAGGGTCCAAACCCCAAATTGGCTTCTACAAAATGCAAATATGACCAAGCTCTTCCCATGGTTTGCACAGATCCCAGCCCAGGTACCAAGTCCAGTCACTTTAAATGGGAAATAAAATAAAATCCCATAAAAAAGGATCCCAAATGCCCCATTCCCCTGTGTTCCAAAGCATCCAAAGGGAGGCACCAGCTCCCTCACCAACACCACCACTCCAAATCCAGCTCTTCACACCATGGTGGGGCTTTTCCAACAAATTGCTACTTTAATTGGAATAAAAATCCTGAAGTGACCATGATTTAATATCAGAGACACCAAACAGACCTAAAAAATCTGGGTTTTTTTGTTTTTTTCCCCCCTCCTGTGGGCTAAATCTGATTTTTGTTTCCTCTGATTGTTGCAGCCTTTTCCACGGTGTGTTCAACACTTCTGAATTTCTCAGCCCGAGCCCCTCTGTTCAGATTTATGAGGGCTGGGCTTTTATGAACTATCCACTGCCCCGGAATATTTGGGAAATCCACATTCCCCAAACATCACCAGCCTCGAGGTCCAGGCTTCCCACTCAGCCAGGCCCTCAACAATGCCCTCATTTTTAATCAGTCACCTGTTTCTCATTTGAAGTTTATCACACTTGAAAAAATACTATAATTTCTTGAGTTGTAAAGAACCCTCCAAACTTTGGTCTCCGAAATTTCATTTCGAAGGCATTAACTCATTCTGAAAGTCCCTTGGCTATTTAAGGTGTAGAGTTTCCATTAACAGAACAAACTCTGTGGAGGATGGAGTGCAAGGTTCTTATGGAAAACAGCCCCTTCCCCTAATTATTTAGTCTAGCAGGGAATGAAAATAATTAAGTCTCAGAATTCCCTTTGGAGTGGAGGGAGGGGGGAATAATGGAAGGAAAATTAGGAGTTTTTTCCACCCAGCTACTGTGGTGGGAATGAAGGGATCCCTAAGGTTGGCAGCAAACTTTCCCCTCAGTCTGGATTGAAGTCCGGGATCAGGGAATTACAGGGTCAGGGATGGGAGGAAGGTTAAAAATCATCCAGTTCCATCCCCTGCCAAGGGCACCAGGCACAGAGGGCAGAGTTATGGGGTTTTGGGAAGGAATTCCTCCCTGTGAGGGTGGGCAGGGCTGGCACAGGTGCCCAGAGCAGCTGTGGCTGCCCCTGGATCCCTGGAGGTGTCCCAGGCCAGGCTGGGCAGGGCTTGGAGCAGCCTGGCACAGTGGGAGGTGCTGGGGTTGGAACTGGATGAGCTTCAAGCTCCTTCCCTACCAAACCATTCCAGGATTTTGGGATTTTACCACCTTGGGTTTTACAAAGCACCTCAGAGGAACCATTTTGGTAAAAGTGGGAAGTTTTCTGTGCCTCAGCTGGAGAAGAAGTCTCTCTCCTCAGAAGGTTTAGGGGATGCAGTGCCCTAAAGCTGGAAAACATCAGTGGGATCCAAGAGAAATTTCATTCCTGGACCTGCATCCCTGTTTGCAGTGCATCCTCAGAGCCTCAAATGGAAAACATTAGCAGCAGCATAACATGACTTGACTTGATCCAAAATGCCCCAAAAAATGTTTTCTCAGCTAAAAATAACTCCATCAACAAAACAGACGCTTTGGGGACAAAATTCCTTTTGTGTAAAACCTCGGAGTTTTCCTCTGTGCCTTTCCCTGGCTGATGTTGGCTTTGTCTCTTCCTTGAAAACACAAACAATTCCAAGATGAGTGTCCACAAACTCAGTAATTCCTGCAGGGCTGTTTTGTCTTTGAAACACCTGGGGGACAGAGGCCACCGTGGGACTGAGGCCGTGGTGGTCCTGGCACAGCAGGAGACACGGTGAGCCCTGGAAGCAGGAGCCTGGCATGGTGTGGGGTGTGCCACACCAACCTCACCCACGTCCCAGGGAGAGCTGGCACCGTCCCCACCCCTGCCAAGGCCTGGCTGTGTCCCCAGTGTCGCCCACTCCCAGTCTCCGTGTCCCTCAGCAGCTCTGGGATGGGATTTGGGAAGGTGGTGCCACCCTGGGAATCCCTGGCTGGCACAGAGGAGCTCCCAAAAAGGTGCCACAGCAGGGCACAAGTGACACCTTCAGCATGCCGGGTCTCCCTGGGCATCCCAGTGCTCTGGATGATGTTAAAGATCATTTCCAGGAGAGCCTGGGAGGTTTGGGAGCTCCTGGGTGCCAGCTGGGAAGCAGCAGGAGGATGGAGATGGGAACACCAGGGACCCCGAGCTGGAGCTCCAGGAGGCCCCCAGACCTTGCAAGCCTGACTGAGAACCAGGAGGCTCCAGGAAGGTGGGATCGGCTCCCGTGGTCTCCAAATTGTTAATTAGCAGCTCTGCGCTCACCAGAGTTGGACTTCTGGTCTGTAAAGTGTTTTTCTTGTAAAATTTACAACATGTCTGGCCCCAGTGAAGTCTGCGGTGAGAAGTTTCCAGGCGGTGCAGCCCCCGACCCCCTCCCCGGGCTGTGCTAACGACCCTGCTTAACTCATTTCTCTGGAAAGTGATACCCTGGAAAAGGAGGGGAAAAGAGTCCGGGAGATCCGGGCTGCACCCGGGGAAGAGTCACTGCAAGGGGCTCCTCTGTCCGTGGATCCAGCGGGATCTGCACGGCCAGCACGGAGGGATCTGAGTGTGCAGCAGAGCCTGAACCATCCAGGGCATTAATTACAGGAGAAAAAATAATCCAGGATAGATTGGTGGGAGCTGGGCTGGCCTGTTTTGGGGTCAGTTTTGGGGTTTGGATCTTCAATGAGCACGAGAAGCAGCTGGGAGTGATCCTGCACAGTGATGGATCCCTGAGTGCTCCATCTCCATCATCTCCATCCAGACATGGATCACAGCTCCCTCAGCTGGGAGTGATCCTGCACAGTGATGGATCCCTGGGCTGCTCCATCTCCATCATCTCCATCCAGACATGGATCACAGCTCCCTCAGCTGGGAGTGATCCTGCACAGTGATGGATCCCTGAGTGCTCCATCTCCATCATCTCCATCCAGACATGGATCACAGCTCCCTCAGCTGGGAGTGATCCTGCACAGTGATGGATCCCTGGCCTGCTCCACCTCCATAATCTCCATCTCCATCATCTCCATCTCCATCCAGACATGGACCACAGCTCCCTCAACTGGGAGTGATCCTGCACAGTGATGGATCCCTGGCCTGCTCCACCTCCATAATCTCCATCTCCATCATCTCCATCTCCATCCAGACATGGAGCACAGCTCCCTCAGCTGCTCCTGCCCTCCCTGGGGGCACACAGAGCCTGGGCTGCATCCACACTGGGATGACTGGGAAGCAGTGACTGCACGGGCACTGCAGGGAGCCCATCCCTGTGTGACCCTGCCCAGTGCAGCCCCAGGGGAGGAGCACACTTCCCTCCTCATCTCTGGAGAGTTCCCATGCTGTTCTAGCACAGAAAGCAATCCAGGGAGCTGAACACACACAAACCCCACTGACAGCCCAGTGCAAAGGCAGCACAGCAGAGCTGGGGGTCCCAAAGTTACCCAGCCTTGAAGCCAAAGCCTGTCTGTGTTCATGCATGGCCAACACAAGGCACCCTCCTGGTGCTCATCAAAGCATTACTGCTCCAAAATAACAAAATATTGCTGTCCTCAGACTGCATTTAAAGCCTAGTGTTTGGTGGATCGTTCTTGAAGCTGCTCCAAAAGTCTGTGGATGTAAAACCTGCTGTGGAGCAGAGCTGGGGATGCGCTGGGATCAATGTGTGTTTTCCAGAGATGAGGATATTTATAAAAAAAACCCTTCAGCTGCTTTCCTGAGAGCAGAGAGAGCCTCCAGCAGCAGGGATCTGCTCTGGGTGGTAACAGAGTGATGGAAACTTCAGGTTGCCTCCAGCAGCAGGGATCTGCTCTGGGTGGCAACAGAGTGATTGAAACTTCAGGTTATGCACGAGCTGGAAGAGCTGAGGGAAAGAAACCCCATTCCTGGAGAAGGCAGGTTCACCCCAAGGACACCCCATGGAAATGTGAGGGGCAGCTCTCCAGCCACATCACCCTCAGCTGTCCCTACAGCTGGGCCCAGCACCCAGAACCTCCCAAACTCCTGTTTCAGGTACAGCAGAGGGACCAACAAAGAACTTGGGGCACTTTTTTTGCTCAGCTTTGAATTCCTGATGGGTTTCAGCCTCGTGCAGAGCTCAGGCAGACACTTCCCCCCCTCTTTCCACGCCAGCCTCACCCCAAATGCCTCTTTGGGAAGGGGTTTGCTCCTTCCCCCAGCCACACGTGAGGAGCTGAGCAGCACTGCCCCCCTCCCCTGCAGCTGCTGGCACTCCCTGACCTCCCCACTCCGACCTTCCCAGGGAATAAACACGGAGTTCTCACCTTGAACACATTCACTGGTGTCCAGGAGAATTTAACAACTGTGCAGGACTGAAACCCACAGCTCTGCTGAGGCAGGCACCAGCGAGGAGCCAGAGCAAAGCAGCCACAGTAGCAACCAAACCCTGCTGATAACAAAGCCAAGGGAACGTTATCATCCCAAAAAAAAACCCAAAAAGCCCCCCGGCGCTACAGGGAACATGTTCCCAACTGAAATAATAATAATAAGGAGGCTTTTCCTTGAGCTTTAATTGGTCATTTAATGAAAAAGGGCTGGGGATTAGCGTGGTGTTTTATGGAATCTCGGGGCTGGCACGGGCACAGGAGGAGGTCAGGATGGGATGCACATGTGGGAACAGCTGGAAACTTGGCACGGGAGCCCAGGGTTATTATTTCACGTGCTTGGGAGCCCTGAGTGGTTTCAGGTTGGAGTCAGTGGCTGCCAGAGGGGCAGGGCAGGTTCCATTTCCCCTGTTAAGGTGTGAGAGGCTGGTTTTGTGTCACAGCTGAGCCAGTGTGGATGTAACACGGGAATTCCACCATGGAATTCTGGGCATTCTCACCCCACAGCCACCCTGCTGTCGTTCAATTTTGCTGCTCAGGGAGTGTGAGCTGTCAGGAGGAACAATCCCTGCCAGAAAGGAGGCCACAGTTAGTGGCACCCTTTGTTGTTTTATGGGATTCCAGCTCACCATCACTTGCTACCATCCTGCTGTCCTAGGAAGGGCCATTCTATCATCTCCAAAACCCCCATGGAATTCTGGAATGGTTTGGCTTGGAGGGACCCTAAAAGCCATCCAGTGCCACCCCTGCCATGGCAGGGACACCTTCCACTGCCCCAGGCTGCTCCCAGCCCTGTCCAGCCTGGCCTGGGCACTGCCAGGGACCCAGGGGCAGCCCCAGCTGCTCTGGGAATTCCATCCCAGCCCCTCCCCACCCTCACAGGGAAGAATTTTTTCCTAATTTCATCCCTTTTTTCTGGGAGTTTCCCAAAGCCACGTCTCCAGCCCAGTGTGCATTACTCACTAAAAGCCACCCCTCAATCCATCCCACCAGAAAATCCGTGGGAAAGCAGGATTCCTGAAGGGGCCAGGAATACAAGGCTGCATGAGAGAGCAGAGCAAGACGTTGGGAATCAGCTCCTGGATGCCAGCTCTGCAGGGAAAGGCCACACCTGGCACAGCTCCTGTGTCACCTCTGCTCGGGGAAGAAAAGTCCCTTTGTTCCAGGGTGGGGCCTGGCAGGGCCACTGGGCAGGAACCTCTCCCCAAGCCAAGGTCTCCCTCTGGATTTATCTGCTTTGGCATTCTGGCCACTTCCCTGGCACTGCTGCTGCTTCACGAGGTGAGGCTGCCTGGAATTCTGCATGGGAGACAATGATCCCAGGGAAAAGGAGGAAATAAAAACTCCCCTGTGCACAGGGAGCAGAATGCTGCAGGGAACTGAGCTGAGCTGAGCCCGCGTGGGAGAGGGGGAAGGAAGGAATGGAGAAGGCTGAGCTGGGTGCAGGGAGCACTGAGGGATGATGATGACACCCACGCCTCCTCCCCCGGGCAGATTTTCCCTCTGAGCACCTTCTGGCTGCAAGGCTGAGATAACAGGAGGCTCAAATGAAATATCTGACAGGAATATGAACCTGCCTTCTCCAGAAATGGGGTTTCTTTTCCTCAGCTCTTCCAGCTCATGCATTACCTGAAGTTTCCATCACTCTCTGGTAGGGTTGTGTTTGAGGGAAGAGAGGAGAACCTTGACTCCATGTTTCAGGAGGCTGATTTACTACATTATGATATATATGATATTAAAACGCTACACTAAAACTATACTAAAATAAATAGAAATAAAAGGATCAATCAGAAGGCTGGAAAGGACAGGAGAGGAATGACAACAAAAGGTGCAAAGAGGAGCCTGTCAGGAGCAGCACAAGGGATGGGAAATATCCTTCCCTCCAGCCCAGGGCTTTTCCTGACACAGCCTGTCAGAGCTGGGAATGTCAGCCCTGTCCCTGGCCACTGCCAGGGGGTGCAGACAGCCCTGGGGGAGTGGGAGAGTGGTGCCAGAGAAACACCCCAGAACTTCTGGAAACAAATTCAGTCTAATCCAGAGGCTGAGCTCACTCGTTTATGGACTCTGTAAACTCCCACACGGGTTTTGCACAACTCCTCTGCCTTCACAAGCTCCTCCTGGGCTTTCAGCTCCTGCTTCTCCTCCTTTCTGCTGCTCTGGGGGACTCAAGGTCCAAACAACACCAGGGATTTCTGTGGCTGTGCAGGACAAGCAGCCCAGGGAGGCAGCTGGCAGCAGATCTGCAGCTCTCAGTGCTCCAGCCGAGCAGTGGCCATTCCAAACGGGATTTACTTCCATGCTTAAGCAGGTATTTACATGCCTGAGCATCCCAGCTCCCTGCCCTGCCCGGGCAGCTCTCCTTCCCACTGTTCTCCACCACAGTTATCCCCATTCCCACTTTCCAGCCAGAGCAAAGAGACCTTCCACACTAATTGCTGCTAATTAGCTGCTGTGGACACACCTTGAGAGACCAACACTCCAAGGGTTCCAATGGGAACACTCGGGGGAAGCTTTCAGTGAATTAAACACTAAAAAAATGGATTAAACACTAATAATAATGAAATAAGCACAGTGAATTACACAGTAATAATAATTAATTAAACACGAATAATAAGGAATTAAACACTAACAATATTGAATTTAACAGTAAGGATGCAAAGAGGCTGGGTTATTTCCTCTGCCTCCTCCCAGGTACACCAGACCCCTCGGCACAGCCACACTCTGCCCTGCACAGCAGCACTTGTGTCTCATCCTTCAGCTTTAAACCTCAGATCCCTTTTATCTGAAACCTCCAGGACATTTCTGCCCTGGGCAGAGCCTTTTCCACACCTCAGACACAACCTGGGGGAGCTGATTTCTCCCCCCAAAACACAGCCTGACTTCCACCCCCAGCTCCATCCACCCCCTGCACCTTTCCCTAATTCCAGGCCCTGCTGCTGGCTGCAGTTTGGACCTTGGCTGTGGTTTTCCTGAGGGATCAGCAGCCCTAATGCAGATTAAATGAAATTCCAGCACACACAAACCAGCAGGGTAAATATCAAACCACGGCTGATGTCAGGGCCCAGGAATCCCAAAGGCTCCGAAATGAAAATGCCACAGGGACAGCAAACCCAGGAGCTCGTGGCAGAGGGAAGAAGAAATTCCAGGAGAGGATGCAGGGACAAGGAGAAAAGCCTGGGGTACTCTGAGATGGGTTTTCCTCGTGCCACTGCTGTCAGTCAGTTCTGGAAAACCCAGCTCATATCACATGGGTAAGATTTGCAAAATAAGCTAAACAAGAATTAACGTTCAACTTCCCCCCCTTATTTAATTTCTAGCTGTCACCTGTTTGCTGATATCACGTGGGGAAAATATTTGGAGGGCCCAGTGTCCATGTGTGGGCAGATGGGGAATGGGAGCTGCTGTCCCCAGGGCTGTCCCCAACAGGGATTCTTGGTATTGCTAAGAAACCTTTAAAAAAAAAACCTCACATAAAATTGCCAAGAGTTTCATTACAGTAGCACAGTCCTTTAGGAACACAACCTTTGTTCTTGTTTTTTTTTTTAAAACATAATTAACTCAGCCACTGCTTCCAACACTCCCCTGTGATCCCAACACGTAGTAAATCCATGTAATTGGTTTTTCCTGCTCAAGGAAGGCCCAGGCTTTCAGAGGCACCCACCTGGAAGGCAGCAAACCACATGAGCCAGTCGAGGCGATAGTGGTAGGGGGAGATGAGGCACGGCCTCCTCCTCAGGTCCCCGGGCTTGCACTTGAACTCAAACTCCTCCCAGACTGCTGTGGGGTCATTGGGATCCGGGCTGGATGTCCCCTGAAGGATGACTTCTGTCCTCTCCTTGGTGATGCTGTGGGGTACAGCAGGCTGTTGTTATTTGGCTCAAATCGTGGAAAATCATAAAATCACAGAAAGGTTTGGGTGGGAAAAGCCCATCCAGTTCCAACCCCAACACCTTCCACTGTGCCAGGTTGCTCCAAGCCCTGTCCATGGACACTGCCAGGGATCCAGGGGCAGCCACAGCTGCTCTGGGAATCTGTGCCAGGAAGGAGGGAGAAGGATTTCTCCCCATATCTCAGCTAAAAGCTCTGGTTCTTGAGAGCCCACGAGTCACTGGCCTGGAGGCACAGTTGGATCCAGAGAACCTCTGGATCCTGGGACCTCTCTCTCTCCAGCAGCAAAGTGAAATTCCAAGCTCTTCCTTTCACCACGTGCAGCTGCTGCCCCAAGGGCCAGCTGGGATCCATAAAGATGATTCCTGCAGGACAGGTGGGGCTGTGGATCAGAGCTGCTGGTGAGTACTCCCACGTGGCTCAGCATGGAGCAGTGGGAATGGCAAACTGCATGGAAACACCACCCTGGAGTCCTCCTGAGCTGCCAGAGACACCCCCCTGCCCCAGGAGCTGCTCTCCACACTGAGCACAGAGCTACAGAAACCTGCCTGGCAGAGCTCTGCAGCTCCAACACCCTTTGGATTTTTTTCTACTTCGATTTTGCCTCCTCCAGCCCAAGAAACTGAAAATTTGGGAACACACAAGCTCCACCTCCTGCCCTGACGGCTCCCAGGGAGAGATGCTCCCAACCTAAGGAATGCTGAGCATCTCCTCTTTTAATTGTTGCCTCCATTGAGGAGCTCTGTGCATTCTCCAGCCAAGTTCCATTTTATCCCCTGGGCTGAGCTCTGAGCCGTGGCCAGCTGCCTAAGGCTCAGGAACACCCTGTAAATCAGGGACACCAAATTACCAATAAAAGGCTGCTCCTACTGTGTGATCCCAAACCTGTCAGCTTTCACATCATCCCAGCTTCATTAGAAGCTGCAATCCTCTTTTTATTGGTTTACACAGGCTGGAATTACCAACATATTTCAGCACATGCTCTGTAGGGTCTGGTAACTGCTGAAATGGAAACCAAAGGCTGGAGGAGAAAAAGGACAACAACCCAAAGAAAACAATCTCCTGGAGCTTCACCACTCCAGCCTTCAAAGAATTTCAGGGCTTATTTCTCTCTCTGTCTCTCAAAAAACAGAGGAAATTTTGGCATTTTCCCACAAGTGTTGATGTTTTTAATATTTTTTCTAGTTTTTTTTTTCTGTCCACATAAATTTCTGCTATTTGAAAAACTGAGGAAAAATTATATTAATTTGATGTGTCCTCAGCATCTCCAGTGCTTGTGGTGGGACTCGTTCTTCCCCTTCACTGGGGAGGCCAGACCTTTAACAGCCAAACTGCTTCACCTTCTGCAAAATATATTATATTTATGATTATATTTATATTATAGTGATATTTATATGGATATACAATCAATTTCCCAAGCCACTCGCTGGAAAAATCTGCTACCAAGAGGTGCTGTGGATGCTTCCAGGAGGGAGAGCAAAGAGTGCAGGGGAAGAGAAGCTCACCAGAAATAAAGAGGGCTGGGGATGGTGAAGATATCCTGGATGAACTCTCCTATGGATATTTTCATCCTGCTCCTATGGATATTTTCATCCTGCTCTTACATTTGCTATGTCGATGGAATGAGCTGACTCATAGAGAGCTCAGAGAAAATAAATTCAGTGGGAAAGAAACCTGTTCCTTTTCTCCTTATTTCTCATAAACAGGTAATCCATAAATTGGAATTTAGTGGGAAAGAAACCTGTTCCTCTTCTCTCTATTTCTCATAAACAGATAATCCATAAATTGTATTTTAGTGGGAAAGAAACCTGTTCCTTTTCTCCTTATTTCTCATAAACAGATAATCCATAAATTGCAATTTAGTGGGGAAGGAACGTGCCCCTTTTCTCCACCTCCCTCATAAACAGATATATCATACACTGTATTTCACAGGGAAAGAAACCTGCTCCTTTTCTCCATCTCTTCCATGTTCCAGGTCCACTGGAAGGATTTCTCTTTGGGTTTAAGGCACACAGCAGGTCTGGCTCTGGAATACCCTGGAGGGAGCTCTGGGATGTGCCACTAAAGGCCCAAAGGTACCTCCCAAAGGCTCCGTAGGTGTTGACGATCCTGAGGGGGTTGAAGGAGGTGTTCATGACCTGTCTGGAGTTGAGCAGGTTCAGCACCACCGGGATGCTCAGGTAGGCGATGAGGAGCCCCAAGGAGATGTTCAGCACTCTGCGGACACAGGAGCCTGTGGGGACACCAAACCAGAGCACAGGGGGTGATTTCACTGCCCTGCTCCCATCCCCATTCCCATTCCCATTCCCATTCCCATTCCCATCCCCATCCCCATCCCCATCCCCATCCCCATCCCTATCCCCATTTCCCCACTCCCATTCCCATCCCCATTTCCCCACTCCCATTCCCATCCCCATTTCCCCACTCCCATTCCCATCCCCATTTCCCCACTCCCATTCCCATCCCCATTTCCCCACTCCCATTCCCATCCCCATTTCCCCACTCCCATCCCAGGCCCCTGTGCCGGCCCCGCCGTGCCCACCCCGGCCTTGCCCCAGGCCACTATCGCTGCTGGGATCTGCCTTTCTCTAAATAGTCTGAGCAAGGGCTGAAAGGAAAAATGTCTGAAATGTGACATCAATCATGCCTTTAATACAGGGGAAAAACCACAGCTGGCACCTGCACCTTGCTCGGGATCAGCCTCCTGCTTTGGGGCCGCTCCTGCCTCCTCCTGCTGCCCCAAGCTCTCCCATCCTCAGGGCTTTTCCTACAAAATCCCAATTCCCCAGCGCTCCTGGAGGAGCCGTGTGTTGCTGTGCCAGGGATGGGGTTTGCAGGAGCAGCACGGGGCTGGGCTGGATCCCAGGCCACGATCAGACAAATAAGCAGAGGTGACCCCCCAGGGGCTCCTTCCCTCATGGCCCTTTTCAATTTATTTAACATTAACAGCCAAAGGATCAGATTCAAAGCAATTGCGTGGAGCTTTCCCCTTATCTCTGCAGGAGAGGGATGTTTATTTGAACCTCTCTCAGAAGCTATTAATAATTGTTTAGTCTGAGAACATTTCTGGAGAGCCATTTGAATCAGGCCTTCCCTCACCCCCTGGGTACGAGGCTTTGGGGCATTTTTGGGGTTTTTTTCAGATGGGCTGAACTTCTTCTCCTGTAAGTCAAGAGCAGGTACAGGCACAGAGCCTCCCCTGGCTCCATGGCCATGCAGGCACTGCTCATCCTTCAGCAGGAGCAATTCTCCTCCTGTCTCCCTGCCCTTGGGGGTCACAGCCACTCATCAGAGAAAAAGGGGTTAATTCAAGGAAAAAAATAACCTAGATGGAGCAAAATATGGGGACAGGAGCCAGTGGGATCTGGATGGGAGGTGGAGGCCTCAGAAGGAATCAAACAGTCCAAGGATTTGGCCTCAGAAAATCAGGATATGGCTGGGGGCCCTCGTGTCTTCTGCTCTGGTGGCCCAGGACTCTCTTGGCACCCATCAGCACCAGCTCAGCAGCCCCAGCTTCCTGAGCAGAGAAAACACGCAGGAATTCCAATTTCTGGGATGTTACAGACACCCCACGCCTCCCGAGGGTGGGACACAGCTCCACCCCGAGTGGGATGGGCATTCTCCTTGCCTGGACACCCTGGCTCGGTCAGCCTTTCTGGAGAACATCACAGAAAAGGTGCAAGTTCCTCAAAACAGGATCTGCCTCCCCCTCACAGTGACTCCCTTTGGCTTCTCCTCCCAAAAACAAGGTGCAGCCTCAGTGTTGTTTGGGATTGGAGGCATAAATGGAGCTGGGAGGAAAGTTTGAGACTTTCACAGCCTCTACAGCAAAGCTCCAGGAGGGGAAAAGCTGATAAAGATTTATTCCAGCAAAATATGTGAAATAAAAGACAAAACTTAACAAAGTTGCATGGCTGGACCTCCCATTTTTGGTTAATGAGCTGCTTCTTGGTAGAAAAGACTGGAGACAGATGCTGCCTCTTGTTGACATTTTTCCTTCCTCTGACAGATGTTTGGGATATTTAACCCCAGCAGCTGTGATTGTTGTTGATATTACAGGCAATTTGTTGCTTATATGCGGTTTATAAAAATGCTGCACACACCACTCTCCATCTGTTCCGCAGCCTCATGAGAAACATCCCAGCGCTGCTTCTCCTGGATCAGGGCAGCTTGGAAAGCGCCTCTGCAAGGGGGAATCAGCCACCTCAAGCTTTTTTTCCAGTTACAACCCCTCTGTGTTTGTTTTTTCACATCCACGGGATGAGCAGGAGTTCTCCTCCTCCCTGGTTTGGGGAATTCTCTCCCCACCACGATGGTGGCCATGCTACCAGAGGTGGCCACCAGCAGCTGCTCCTTCCACCAGCCCAGGCTGCTCCAAACCCTGTCCAAGCTGGCCTTGGGCACCTCCAGGGATCCAGGGGCAGCCACAGCTGCTCTGGGAATCCATGCCAGGGCCTGCCCACCCTCCCAGCAGGAATTCCTTCCCAATATCCCATCCAGCCCTGTCAGTTTGCAGCCATTCCCTGTGTCCGGTCTCTCCATCCCTTGTCCCAAGTCCCTCTCCCGTTCCCCCTCTCCATTTCCCTTTAGGAACTGGAAAGGGCTCCAAGTTCTCTCTGGAACCTTCTCTTCACCATGTCTTGAAGGAGAGCAAGTGAGGAGAGCAAATGTAAGAACCCAGCTTCCAACCCCACCTCAAGTCCCACTGGGCGTTTTATCCTTGACTTTAAACAGTCAAAATTAATTAAAAAAAAATTAAAAAAAGTGAAATCATGCAACTCCCCATTCTTATTTTGAGTTCGAGTCACTGGGGTCTAAGCAAGGATTGACTTACGTGTTGGAGCTGCCTGGACTTGCTGTGACATTGATCCTGCAGAGGACATGTCCCACAAACAACGTCCCCATGGCAATGTCCCCACAGACCCTCAACCATCACGAGGTCTCTGCCCACAGAGCAGCAGAGCTTTGCTTTGGAGGTGAGAGCTTTGGGGCCAAGCACACCCAAATCCCACCTTTCTCCTCTAGGGGATAACTCACCCAGGGAAAGCCTCTGTCCCCCCGAGAGCTGCAGCCGCGCCGCCCGCTCCCGCAGCCGCGAACCGAAGAGCAGCCCCAGGCTGGCGTCGTCAAAGCACGCCAGGCTGGGCACCATGGTCAGCCAGTTCAGGAAACTCAGGTTCCCACTTATGATCAGGAGCACCTGGATGGGGAACAAGGAGGCAGAGAGCGTTGGATGTCGCGAAATGCCGACAAAACGCGCGGTGAGGGGGTGGAGCATCCCAGCGTGGACATTCCGGGATGGAAAAGCCTTCCTGGAGCCCAGGCCCCAGCCCAAGGATTCCAAATGTGGACCAGCTCTGGTTCACACGGGAACTCTGCCTGTGCTTCCAGCAGGAGGGACCAGCCAGGGCATAGAGTGACTCCATTTCCATAGCAATTAATTTCCACAGTGACTTGATTTCCAAAGTGACTCAATTTCCACAGTGACTTGATTTCCAGTGACTTGATTTCCACAGTGCCTCGATTTCCACAGTGCCTCAATTTCCAGTGCCTTGATTTCCAAAGTGCCCTGATTTCCAAAGTGACTTAATGTCCCACAGGAATCACCCAATTCCTGTTTATTCCAAGGGATCTGTGACAGCAACGCTCCTGCAACCCTTCAGGAGGAAACCTTGGAGCTTCTAATTAAAGAGCAGCATTAAATATAGAAGCGTGCATTTTAAGAGGCGTTATTTTGTTTTAATTTTAGCTTTTATTGGCTGTTTAGGGGAATATCTTGCATGCGGTCTCCCAAAATACCACTCCACAGTAAGAACATCAAGAACACAGGGACAGTTTCAGCCTGAGGACTTTCAGCCACTGTTCTGTTGAAAAAAAATCCATGTTTTCTCATTAAAAATGACAACAAATAAATGCTAAGAACGTGTTATTTCATATTTTATATGATTGGCACCATGGTTTCTGACATGGTGATTTGCAAGTTACAAGTTTTAAAACCCCAGCAGGACCCTTCAGAAAGTCAGAGATTGTTAAAAAAAGGAGAGCTCTGACCAATCACAGCAAGGAACAAAAATCCTAACTATTATTTAGTTAAAATAATAATACTTTATGCTGAGTTGGATAATTATGAGGGGGGAAAAAAGCGATTTCTATCTGAATTCCAGACACGTGTTGGGTCCTGGAGGGGAACATGTTACAGTCGAGGTTTGGGCCTTGCTCTGTGACCTGAATGTGATTTAGCTCGATGCATATTAATCAGCCTGGCTTCATTATCACACCTCTCACTCTGCTCCCGTTCCGAGGTGATTTTGCCTCGTGCAGTTGCAGTTGTGTTAGGAAAATCCTTCTGTGCTTTGCCACTTCTGGTTCCCAGCTCTGCAGGAGCCCCTGGGTGGTCCACGGGAGGGCTTTTTTCAGGAGTGATTCACCTCGCTTTATTGCTTGGAAGTCAGGAGCAGGAGCTCTTGTTTCCAGCAGCCCTGAAAAATCAGGGGATTCAAAAATAACACGAGTTTGGCGTTCTCTGGGCTGGGGTGGAACTGCGGAGCCGACACATTTTTAATTTCAGTGCTTCTGGCTGAGGCTCGGAGCTCACACCAGCTCCTGCTCACCCGGGGGTGGATGGAACCGTGGACCCCTCGGATCTGCAAGGACAGACCTCAAAGGAATTCCTGCTGCAAAGCCAAAAAACGGGACTTTCAAACATGCTGAGGGTGGTGACAGCGTTTTCAAACATGCTGGTCTCAGCAAGCGGCTTTGTGGCCATCGAGAGTGAGTTTTGTGTTATTTCATCACCATCGTCATCATCCTGGAATGGTATGGGTGGGAAGGGACCTTAAACACCCCAAACACCTCCCACTGTCCCAGGGTGCTCCAAGCCCTGTCCAGCCTGGCCCTGGACACTGCCAGGGATCCAGGGGCAGCTCCAGCTGCTCTGGGAATCTGTGCCACCCTCCCAGGGAACAATTCCTGCCCAATGTCCCACTAACCCTGATCTCTGGTAATGTGAAGCCGTTCCCTGTGTCCTGTCCCTCCACGCCTTGTCCCCCATCCCTGTCCAGCTATCCTGGAGTCCCTTTATGTCCTGGAAGAGGTCTGAGGTGTCCCTGGAGCTTCTCCTCTCCAGGTGAGCACCCCCAGCTCTCCCAGCCTGGCTCCAGAGGGGCTCCAGCCCTCAGAGCATCCCTGTGGCCTCCTCTGGATTGGCTCCAGCAGCTCCACATCCTCACGCTGGTGGCAGTGCTCCAGGTGGGAGTCCCCAGAGCAGAGGGATGGACGTGTCCACAGCACCGAGGGTGAAGCTGAACCTGGAGTCTCCCAGGACCCCACAGGAGCAGCACCTGCCAGGATTTAGGGATCCACTGCCATCCAACCTCAGCAGGCAGCACATATTTCTCCCCAAATCTTGCTTTTCCTCCGGAGCTTCCACGTGCTGCTCCCTCAGAGCAGAACTGTGCTGCCTCCAGTTGGGATGTTATTTCCCAGGGCAGATCCCTGCTGGAACAGCACCGATAGTTGGGATGTTCAGTTTGGGATGGATTTCCCAGGGCAGATCCCTGCTGGAAGAGCACGGGGAGCTTCCCTAATCCTTCATCAGAGGAGGGAGAATTCATCCCCACTCCCCCAGCAATCCCAGCCTTTGGCTCACATCCCCTGGACTCTTCCATGCTCCAACCACCACCAAAAGCCAGCTGGGTCTCCAGACCTCCATCCCCATCCATCCTCAGCCTTGATTTGTGCTCCCAGAGTGTCCTTCCCTTGCTGGACAATATTGAAACTCCCAATTACACCAACCAGATGGGATCAACCCCTGTGGTGATCGGGAGAAATTTTTTATTAAAGCCCAGTATTAATCATGGTAATTGGGGAGGAACTTTGAGGTTATAAAACTACAGCATGTCTAATGAGCGAGCTCCTTCTAGGAGGAACTGAGGGTTTTAATCTAATAATGTCACTTTTATGGATTATGACTGGAGTTTTATGAAGTGTGATATGAAATACAGTGGATTCATGGCTCTCGCTGGATTAATTTGGAAAAGTAGTTTTCCTGGTTCTAGGCCCAAAACCAATTATTCCTCACATTTCTGTCCCCTGCCCCGTTACCAAACCCCTCTGTCAGAAAATGGGCACCTCCAGCCTTTATTTTTTTACAGGTTGGGCTTCTTTGTTTGGCTGGGCTTTGTTTTCTTTGGTTTTTTTTTTGAAATCCCAGATTGCTACAAACATCCAGTAGGCAGAGGAAGCTCAAATCCCCTGGCACACGCTGGATATTTGTCCAGAAGGCACAAAAACAAGCTGGAAACTCTTAAGCACAGGTGAGGGTTACCTGGAGCTTGTCCACAGCATGAGGACAGGGTCACCTCACTGGGGCTGCCTGATATCGAGCCATTGGCACAGAAAAGTCAAAATTGGGATATCTGGAAGGATTATAAATCATTTAAAGGGAAAAAGGAAACCTCAAGAACCATCCAGTTCTTCCTGCTGCCCCAAAGCAGAGTCCAAAAGTCACAATAGAGTCTTTGCCTGCACTGGAATGTATTTGTTAAACAATTCCTAGAAAAATACTCATTTATGTAGTTTTCCACAAAAATTTATCATAGGCACAGACAAACAAAAATCCCATTAAATGGCAGCAACAATAATTTTTAATTTCCCCCCATTATGAATTTAATTTCTTGTTAACTCCTTAACTGAATATTTGCATGAGGATTTAATCTCTGCTGTTCAGTGCAGGGAAAAACAGGTAAATAAATAATCACCTGTCTAGACAGGAGATGGTTTTGTGCATCCCAGAGAAATTCAGTGAACTACTGGAAGCAGCAGGAGAAAAGGAGCAGGTCAGCTTCTGCTGAGGAATAAAGCAACCATGGGCACAGAAATGCACAGTCCTCACTAAAACCTGTCCTTGATCTGGGCCAGGCTTTGATGAGTTACAGATTGCACTGTCAGGTTTTGGCAATCCCAGGTCTAAAGAGGGACCCAAATCCTTTCCATTGCTGTCCCACATTTAGGTTTGATCTGAACGTGCAGCAATGGAAGTGTCTCACTCCAAACTGGTTTTTAATTTGTTCCTACAGGAGCCACCTACTGGAGTTCCCACAGATTATGGGCTGGAGGAACTCAAAATCTCCCCCCTGTGCCAGGGACACCTTCCACCATCCCAGGGTGCTCCAAGCTCCATCCAGCCTGGCCCTGGGCACTGCCAGGGATCCAGGGGCAGCCACAGCTGCTCTGGGCACCCTGTGCCACCCTCACAGGGAGGGATTTTTTTTTCCCAAACCGTTTTGCTCCTGGTTTTTATTTTCCCTCTCTGCTGAGCTCTGCTCCATGCTTGGCTATTAAGACATCATAAGAAAAATTCCAGCACGGCAATGAATCATTAACTGTCACCGTTCTCCAGAAGGTGCAAATTTAGGGTTATAAAACTGTCAAAACCCCAAACAGTTACACGGGGGGGCTGTGCTGTTGGCTGATGTGCCTCTGGAAGGGGATGCAGACAAATCCTCAATTTTTTGGCTGTGTATGCAAGGCCATTATCTGGTTTTATCTCTTGAGGCACCCCGAATGAAGCAAATGCTTGCAGAAAATGCTGACAGACGTGATTGTCGTCTCCCCTGTAGGTAGGGAGGCACAGACTGCACCTGGAAAAGTGTCCAAAGGTGTTTTTTAAGTTTTTTAGGAGCTGTGGGATGCAGCGCCTCGGGAACAGCCAGGGCACGTCCATGGCAAAGACCAACCCTGTGGGAAACCACGTGGATGGCAAGAGGGGCTGGGGGATTGTCCCTGTGACCCCCCTGGGGTGGGTGTTCTTTGGAATCATGGAATTATTGAGGCTGGAATCATGGAATCATTGAGGTTGGAGTCATAGAATTACTGAGGTTGGAATCACAAAATTATGGAGACTGGAATAATGGAATCACTGAGGTTGGAATAATGGAATTATTGAGATTGGAATCATGGAATCATTCAGGTTGGAATCACGGAATCACTGCAGTTGGAATGACAGAATTATTGAGATTGGAATCATGGAATCACTGAGGTTGGAATCATGGAACCATTGAGGTTGGAATCATGGAATCATTGAGGTTGGAGTCATAGAATTACTGAGGTTGGAATCACAAAATTATGGAGACTGGAATAATGGAATCACTGAGGTTGGAATAATGGAATTATTGAGGTTGGAATAATGGAATCCCTGAG